ATCCTGGGGCCCACAGTCCATTGTCAGGCTCTGACTTCAAGCCCTGGGACACAGGGTCTCCCCTCTCCCCACCATCTCTCACCTGTCCTGGCCTCACCCCCGGGTCACTCTGTCTTGGTTCCCATAGCTCAGCATGCAGTTCCAGGTCTGCCCTTCCCCCCCTTACCTAGCCTGGCCCCCTGCACTGGCTGCCCTGCCCTGTCCGAGAGCCGGGCCTCTGATGAAGACGTCCTGTAAACCAATGGAGTTTCCCCGTATTCCCATGAGTTGATGTGACTCTGCTCTGAGTAGTAACAGGAGGTGGCAGGAAGCCACTGGCTGTGGAGTCAGGCAGCTCTGGGTGCGGATCCCGGCTTGACTGCGCCGTCCGTGTGGCATGGAACGGAGAGCCCCCAGCTCTGGGCAGCAGGGCAATCCTCTCTGTGATGAAGGTGTGTTTGCATCTGAGAGGCCCCGAAGGTAGCACGCTCATACTCCTATGTGAACACTCTGCTGATATTAATGGAACTGGCATTCCAGAAGGCGAGGCGGATGTGCAAACAGACAGTTACACTCCAGCGTGACACATGCCGCGAGCACGGCATCCTTCAAGGCACCGGTTGCCGCACAAGCCGCTGGAGACGAGGGGAGAGAACGTGCTGGGGAAACAAGGCTTGGGGGCATCCAGGAAGGAGTTTTCATTCGTGGAGCCGAGTCTCCTCCTCTGTCTCTGCAGGCAGCTGGAAGCCCCACTTCCTCCTGGGCGCCCAGCCACAGGCATCTCTCCTGTCCCCTGCTCTCCATGGCTCCAGGGAGGGCGTCCCTGGAAGGGGAGGCACCGTCACTCCCACCTCTGCTTACAGCAGTGTTTTGCCATGTCTATTCTCAAGGACCCTAGCAGGTCTGAGACTAGGATGAGGCTCACCAGGCGTGAATGGAGTCCATTTAAGGAACTGCTCACTCTTGGTGGTGGGGGTAGTGCAAAGGAGTGAGCATAAACCTTTAATTTTCCACCCTACGCACCTGATTTGCCTTCCCTCAACCCTCCCGTTCCTGGCTCAAATTCTACAAGATGCCCCCCCAAAGATGGGCTCCAGAGCGTAAAATGTTAAGAAAAATTTCCAGGCCAGGTGCGGTGGCTCACGCCTGTAATTCCAGCATTTGGAGAGGTCAAGGTGGGAGGATCACCAGAGGCCAGGAGTTTGAGACCAGCCTGGTCCACATAGCGAGACCTTGTCCCTACAAAAAAGCACACAAATCAGCCAGATGTAGTGGCGTGCCTGTGGTCCCAGCTACTCAGGAGGCTGAGGCAGGAGGCTCACTTGAGCCCAGGAGGAAGAGACTACAGTTGAGCAGTGATCGTGTGAGTGCACTCTAGCCAGAGCAAGAACCTGTCTCTTAACAAATAAAACAATCAGAAAGAAAGAAATCATTCCCCCATGGCCCGAGCTTGGAGAGTTACAAGGTGCTCTGAGCCTTTGCACTTGAGGTGTCTGTTTTCTGGAATGTTCTCCCATCAATAACCCCATGGCTCACACCTTCCTGTACTCCAGCCTCCTTGAAAGACCTCCAGGGTCCCTTGTCTCAGGCAGCCCCTCCCCTGTTACCCTCCGTCACTTTTCTCTGTTTTATTTTTCCTTATCATGACATCACCACCTGCCACATTCTCCATCATTTACCTGGTTACGGTCTCCTCTGCTAGAACGCCAGCTCCACGAGGGCAGGGGCATGTCCATCATCACCGTCGTGTCCCCAGTGCCTAGAACAGTGCCTGGTACAGAAAAGATTCTCAGTGTTTTTTTCATGAATAAAGGAGAGACAGGGAGAAGGAAGGAGAGAAAAATTTCCAGAGGTCTTGAAGAAAAGGAGCAGGTTTAATTTTGTTTAACCTAATATTTTTCACAATTAGTGGATGACAGAAATCATGTTGCTGAGGCCAGGTGTGGTGACTCACGCCTGTAATCCCAGCACTTTGGGAGGCCAAGGCGAGAGGACTGACTGAGCCCACGGGTTCGAGACCAGCCTGGGCAATTTGGCGAGACTTCAACTCTGCAATAAATCAAAATATTGCCAGGCATGGTGATACGCACCCGTGGTTCCAGCTACTTGGGACGCTGAGTTGTGGAAGGATCGCCTAAGCCCAGCAGATTGAGGCTGCGGAAGCTGTGATTGTGCCACTACACTCCAACCTGGGCAATGGAGTGAGACTCCAACTCAAAGAAAGAAAGAAAGAAAAAAAGAAAGAAAGAAAGAAAGAAAAAGAAAAAGGGAAGTTGTGTTTCTGGAAATACCAGTGAGAAGCTCTCTGTCCTTTTACATGCTCTGGGAAAAGCTGTCTTGTCCCAGCCTGTCTGAGACACCTACCCTCTGATCCAGCCCTTACCTGCTCAGCGGGCTCTCTGCTCTCACCTGGCATGCCCTGTGAATCCTGCTTCCCAGACACCTGTGTGTCTGTCGGGTCTCCCAACACGACCCCCCAGTCACCAGAGCTGCAGCCACCGCCGCCCCCCCAGCAACTCCTCCAACACACGGTCAGACTCGCACCTGCATTTCCTTCAGAAATTGCCAACACATAGGGACTCCCATCCCACCCTGCCGCCTCAAGTGCATGTACCATCTGTACCCACCTCAGGCCGCTCACGGTTTATGCCTCTGACAATGCGCTCTGTCCTCCTCCTTCAGGTGGGGGTGAACTGGGGCAGAAGGAGTGGGAACGGAGCCCCTGAGAGGCTGGTCCTGAAAGCTGGGCCAGTCGGCCCTGGTCACCTCTTCTGGTCTGGGGCTCCCCGGCCATCTGGACGGACAGTGCCCGACTCATACCTACCTCTTCAGAAGCAAGAGTCGGGGCAGAGCGGCCCACGGAAAGGTGAGCCGTGGGGCGACTCACGGCTCGGAGCTGTGGCCGAGGGATCAGGCCCCCGACTCCTGTTGTGGCCCCCTGGCCATGCCCACCCCCGTCCCCAGGGCTGGATGGAGAAGGCAGGCAGGCCACAGATGTGCGAAGTTTGCCACACGTTCTCGCACCTCTCTGGGCACCAGAGGCTGTCATCGTGTGGTGGTTGTCATGGAGCCGGGAGGCTTGGGTTTGAATCCCAGCTCTGTCACTTGCAGCTGTGAGATCTGGCAGGTGACTTCACCTCTCTCTCTCTCCTCACAGAAAGTGGGAATAACAAGAGCCCCTCTCTCCTGGGATTGTGGTGATGATTAAGTGAGTGGACGTGTGTCATATCAAGCCCTTGGCCCAGTGCCCGGCGCCAAGCAGGCGGGGAAATGCGAGCTGCTGTGTCCTGGAGGCCTCCTTCTCTGTGGGGTCCGTATTCCCGAAGTGACCTCCTTGTTTGTCAGGCCCTAAGGCCTGGATCATCCAGGCAGGACCACATCTCCTCCGTCCCCTCCCATAGCCCCCAGCCTCCCACCTGGATGCCGGCTGGTCATGTGGGTGGTGATTGTGTCCTGAGGTTGAAGGACACAGTCTCCCTACACTGCGTGTTACCGGAGGGCAGGGCAGTGACTGCGTGGCCTTGGCCTCCTGGATCCGGCCTGGAGCCTGCATGGAGGGAGAGTGAATTGGGTTGGTTGAATGAGTCAAGAAAGGAGCTGCCAGGAGACGGGTCCTTCCAGCCTGGAATCTGGATCAGTTGTCCCTGGTTACCACTTTCCTGGACTCTGAGGCTATCTAGGAACTTGACCTCTGGCCTGAGTTAGAGGCCACCCGGGGTGAGCCCCTGGCCATACCCCTCGCCCTGGAGACCGGGTCCCGAAGCCTTGGACCACACAGATCCACTCTGACTCCCACTTCCAAATTGATCCTCTCGGGGTCGATTCTTGTTTTTCCTTTCTGTAGTGTTGTAACCATTAAGTGCCAGGCAGGGGTCAGGGCCCCCGGCTCGATCCGCTCAGCTTGCCTGCACAATTGAAATCCTTGAACCCATCCTGGCTCGTTTTCTCATTAAGACCAGCGGACTGGATTGATCCATTAGGTTGAGGGCTGGACATCGGTCGGCGGAAAGCCGATCAGACAAGCCAGGATGATCAGCCCAAGGATGAAGTTCCCTGTCAAGCCAGAGTGGGTGCCCCACTTTCTGGGGTGGGGCTGGGGGAGGCAGAGGTGTGGGTCAGAGGCCTCACCTGGCTGGGCTCTGGTGTGAAGGCAGCAACGTGGCTGGTGTGGTGACCAGGGCAAGAGTCCCAGCCCTGTGCCCGGTGTTCTCAGGGCAGCTGGTGATGGTGGGGGGGTGTGAGGCATCATCTGGTGTTTGCAAAGATTGGAGTCCCCTGCCCGGGTGGCCAGCCTGTTACGGCCTTCCCCACCGCATCAGCTCCACCATGGCCGTGGGTCGGACCCACCCACTTTGGAGTGATGGTAAATATGGGTGTTTGGAAACCAGTGGCGATCTCCAGGGGCTCTCTTCCCTTTTACCAGGAGTGATTTGGTTAGGAGGTTGGGAATGGAGGGGTGTGGACACCTAGAACACCACGTCCTCGTGTGGGTTTCCCAGACCCTGGCCACACGGGACGGTGACGGGGTTTAAGGGTGGCTGAGGGACCTGAGTACAGGTAGGCTCGGGAATGCTGGGGACGGTGCATCCCAGCACAGCCCCTTCCAGCAGGACACCACAGGTGAAGGATGCATTCACAGGACACCTATAACAGACTAAGAGGGCACGCCGTGACTCTCTAAGAGGGGATGGGGCAGTGTTGGAGTACAGAGGCCTTTCCCTGGGACGTCTTGTAGAAATACACTGAGGTGTTTCCTAGAGGTGCCAGCGGGTCCCACATCCAAGGGAAAACTCGTCCCAAGAACTGTTTCCGTTTGGAAGGGTGCACTGGAGCCAGGGAGGGAGCAGAAATGGAGACAGAAGGTGATTGGCTCCCCTCAGGCCCAGGGTCACCAGGGAGGTGTAAGCGGCAACCCATAGCCCACAGCCTCCTCCCTCCGCTGCCGGCTTGCCCCCCGCCCTGGCCAGCCCGGTGCATCTGATCAGCTCATGTGTCACCACTGCTTTCTCCTCTCTCCCTAGGCTACCTGACTGTCAACATTGAGCCTCTGCCCCCAGTGGTGGCTGGGGATGCCGTGACCTTGAAGTGTAACTTCAAGACCGATGGGCGCATGCGCGAGATCGTGTGGTATCGGGTAAGTCGCCACCACAGCCCCCTCCATGCCTGTGGCCGGGCCTGACAGGAGGGCCCCCATAGCCCTCCAGACACCCTCACAGGCATGGCTATACCCTCAGCCCTGACCCAGCCTTGAGCTGTCCTGGGTTTCTGCCAGATCCCTACCATCTGCTGACACCCTCCTCCAAGGTCACGCGGCCGGCCTTCTCTTCCAGCCTCCAGACTGATCTTGTTCTGGTCTCCTTTGGGTTCCTAATAGGGCCCTCCTCTCAGGAAACCCCATTAGCACCAAAGTACACGTTTCTGAGGACCCCATGGGTCCTGGTGGCTGTGTAACAACTAAGCAGTGTCTGATGGTGGAGTTTTGGGCATTAGACCTTGGGTAAAGTTTTTGACAGGGGAGAGAGAAACGGGAAGTTTCCTGTTTCTTAAAATCAAATGACAAGCCGGGCTCAGTGGCTCAGCCTGTAATCCTGTGCCTTTGGGAGGCTGAGGTGAGTGGATTGCCTGAGCCCGTGGGTTCAAGACCCGCCTGGGCAACTTGGCGAGACCTCATCTCTACAATAAATTAAAAAATTAACCAGGCGTGGTAGCGCACACCTGTAGTTCCAGCTACTTGAAAGGCTGAGCAGAAGGATTGCTGGACCCCAGCAGGTCGAGGCTGCGGTGGCTGGGAACGGCCACTGCACTCCAGTCTGGGCGACAGAGTGAGACTCCAACTCAAAAAAAAAATCAAATGACGGAGTCTACCACCTAATATGACTATATAAAGAACCAGCCCTGGTGTCAGCGCCATCAGCTTGGGTCTGAGAAGGGGACTTGTTGGAGATGAGCTGGTGCCCACCCGCCCAGGGCCCGAGTGTTGGTGGCAGGAAGAGAACCTTGGGTATTAGACACAAGCAGCCTTTTCAAGCACTGGTAGAAATCATCGTGTGACTGGGTGGGGCATCCCAGTCTGGCATTCCTTTGCCACGGGGAAGCTGGGCTGGGCTCAGGGGAGAGTCCAGAGGACACTAGTGCCCTTCTCAAGATGCCTTGTCCAGGTGTGCCCAGACGGAGGCATCGCCATCTTGGGAGAGGACGCTCCTTCCGTCATCCAAAACAGCGGCTGGCAAAATTTTCAGTGAAGGTCAAGATTGTAAATATTTTCTCCTCCGCCGAGCATGCAGTCTCTGATACGACTGCTCAACTCTGCTGTTGTGGCATCAAAACAGCAGAAAGGGCACAGCCGTGTTCCCATCAAACTTGACCCATGGCCAGTGGCGTCTGGATTTTGTAGAGTTTTCATGTGTCACGAGATCTTCTTTTTACTGTTTTTCCGGCTGTTAAAAAAGGTAAAGACCGTTCTTAACTCATGGGCCGTGAAAACAGGTTGTAGGCCGATTTGGTTCACGGGCCGCTGTTTGCAACCTCCTGATCTAAAACCCCGCGTCTCTAAGCTGTGTAAGCTGCGTGGCTCTTTCTTCAGATGAGGCCGGTGGGTGATGCCATCAGGTGCTCTGGGTGGAGGGGTGAGGGCAGAGAGTGAGGAGGGGGTGGGGCAGGCACAGCTTGGTGATGTCAGATCCAGAACGGGTTCCTGGAGCTGCACCCACATCCACTCACAGTGTGTGGGGTCATCACCATCTTGTTAGAGGGACCCCTGGAGTGCAGGTGCCGTCCATGGTCTTGGCAGAGAACTGCCCTCCTCAGCTTCCTTCTTGCCCTCGGTCCAGTCTTGCTTTGAGCCGGCCTGTTCTTGCTGTTCTGACTTGCATTTTTGGCCTCTGATTCCGTGTTTGCTGGTTGGTGCCATTCTGCGGGCTGGAATCTGTGCTCCTTTCAACTAAAAATGATAGTTCTGCATCAACATCATGGCCATCCCACCCCGTGTTTGCAATCAACTCCAGTGCCCTTCACCAAGGCCCTCCAGGTAGCCCGGGTCCCACAGGTGTGAACCTGGCATCCTGCAGGGTCTCGGCCCCGACCCTGGAGAAGGGTCCCATCCTAAGTGGACGGGTGCGTCTGCGAAGTCAAGGCATGTGTTAAACAGTCTCTGAACCAAATCACTAAGAGGCATATTTACAGGATACGGGAATGGCTTGGCTGACACGGACTGCGAGCATCTCATCAGCACCTGGCAGAAGGACAGGGGTAAATTAACTCCGGCAGATGGAAATGCGGAGACCCTGTGGGAACAGTGAGTGGGGTGAACTGGGAGGAAGGTTGGGGTTGAGAAAGAAGAGTGGGCACCTCGTGGGCTTCCAAGCCCTGAAGCGACTGCACTCACTGCAGGGTGAAACGGAACAGTGGTGAAAATCCCCCAGAGAGGTTGCTGCTGGTGTATGGGTAGGTAGAACCCGGGAGCAGAGGTCCCAGTGGCTTGACTCTGTGTCCCCGGAGCTGGGGCTCAGGAATGGGGCGGTATGTAACACCCTTGCCATCCTAGGCTGGACAGAGACAGTCCTTTCCTCTTCCACCCCGGTGCTGAATTCCCCCTCTCACCCCCATCTCTCTCTCTCTCTCTCTCTGCCCTAGCCTGCAATTCCACCAAGTGTTTTAGGAGTCAGTGGCATCTCTTACGGGGTGGCAGGTCCTGCCTGTCGGGCTATGGTAGGCTGCACTAATTAATTTATTTTATTTCATTTCACATCCTTTGATGGAGGGCCTCTGGAGCGGGGGTATGCAGATGTATGCAAATCACATGCAAATTACATGCTGGAGCCAAATGCCTGGGCCCTTGTAATTCCGAGGCTGGACTGAGCAGTGGCTCAGCTGACTGGTCACTGTCCTCAGGCCCAGGGGAGCCTGCGTGCCCCACCTAGGATGGTGGGGCCAGTATGAAAATTCTGGGGACGGGATGCCATGCTGCCACATTCCACTCTGACTGCTGCCCCTGGCCCTCCCTCATGACTGCCTCTTTCCCCAAGAAGACAGCTGAGGAGAAAGAGATAAGGGTCTCTGGGGAGCGGAGGGAGGGTGGAGGGTTGAGGGATCTGGGAGCCAAGGCCAGGGCAGAACTTTGAGAGGAAATGGGGGAAGCCCCTGTCTCCTTCTCCAGCCATCCTCCTCCGATGCCCCCCTCTGTGCCAGACAAGCCCACCAGGGCTTCCTCCCCGCACCCCCCAGCCTGCCCCGCCCAAGTAGGGAGCTGCTGATGCTGTTTGTTTTCTGTGTGTGCTGCTTCCTTTCCCTGCTGTGCTCCGTGAATGAGCTTACAGAGCCCAGCTTGGAAGGAAATGAATAGATTACACAGGCCCAGCCAGGACTGCGTCTTCAGCCCCGCTAGAGGGGAGAAGCAGGGCATTGTGAGGAGGCCACCGCTGCCCACTCAGCCCCTTGGGCACAAAATGACCCAAAATATGGGCAAATCCCAACAGTCTCCCCTCTGGCCCTGGAGACATGATCTCAGCAGTGGGATCATTCTGAGCTTTCGGAAAGCATAACGAGTGGATCGGGCTCTTGGGGTAACCGGGGGGAACTGATGAGATCGTCTGGAGGAAAAGGGATTGCCTCCTTGGGTTAGCAAGGCCTCTGGCTGAACGTGTGGGCGGCCTTGCCTGTGGACCCCTTGAGAGAGAGGAAGGAGGTTGAGAGGGTTCAAGGGCCAGGACCTTGGCCGCTTTGCCTCAGGGTCTGGCTAACTAGGAGCTCAGCCAGTTGCCAAAATAGGAAAACAGACTCAAGAAAGTGTAGGTGAGTCCCTGGGTCTGGGTTGTCCAATATGGCAGCCACTAGTCACTTGCTTACACTAAATGGATTCAAGGCTGGGCATGGTGGCTCATACCTATAATCCCAGCACTTTGAGAGGCTGAAGCGGGAGGATCACTTGAGCCCAGGAGTTCAAAACCAGCCTGGGCATCATAACAAGATCTCCTCTCTACAAAAATAAAAAAAGTTAGCTAGGCATGGTGGCATGTACCTGTAGTTCCAGCTACTCAGGAGGCTGAGGCAGAAGGACCACTTGAGCCCAGGAGATCAAGATTGCGGTGAGCTGTGATTGTGTCACTGCACTCCAGCATGGGTGATACAGTGAGACCTCACTTAAAAAAACAAAAACTAAATTGAATGGGTTCGAATGAAATTAGAAATTCATTTCCTCTGTCAGACTAGCCACGTTTCAAGTGCTCACAAGCCCCACGGAGCTGGTAGAGTCCAGATGGGACAGAGCAAATGTAGCACATTTTTGTCACCACCGAAAGTTCTACTGGGCAGCCCGCTGAAGGCATTTGAAATGTCATTCTGTGGCTTCTGGAATGTACTGTGTTTGCCTGATGAGGGCAGAGCAGTGAATGCTTACTGAGCCAGTTTTCCAGGCAAACTCACTCTAACAGAAATTTAGTACAATGAATCTTATGTGTTTTGTAACCTGCTATCACATGGGGGGGACAAGGGAGGGTGGGGAGAGGGAGGTGGTCATCATTCTCAAATGGCTTCTTTGAAAACACACAGATGTCAAGAGACTTGTCAGATTCCTGAGGTGTGAGGTGTTGTAGCTGTCTATCAAAGCCCTGTTCAATTAAGGATGTCATAACCCTCTCACCATCTCCCAGTACTTTCTCCACCATTACATGGTTTGAGTCTCTCCATTGTCTCTTAGGTGTGCGTTTCCAGGCTCCTCCTCCCCAGCTCATGAACATACCTCTTTATTTATTGAGGCTAATAGAGTAGAGGTGCAATTCCATTCTTCACCAGTAGGAGGCTGTCACCTACCAATCCACCGGTTAATGACTTGGTTTTAGCAAATGGATGATAAGTAATGTTCTTTACTTAATCATTTCTGTGTATGTACGCCTATCATTGGGCACTCCTTTAATAATGCTAATACTAGTCTGTGTGGCTAACATTAATGAGCATTTGCTCTGTGCCAGGCACTGATCAAGTGCTTTACAGACTTTTATTACATTTCATTTCTATGTTGTCACTGTGAGGCAGGTATTTTACTTTTTAGATGAAGAAGCCAAGGCCATTCAAGGAGACTGAGTCTCAGTTCATGTTGCCTGCCCTGACTTCTCCAGAAAGTTCTAGACACACCCTCCT